TTGGGAGAGCCAGTGATGAGAGGGAAATCAGAGCTGTGGAAAGGTTGAGCATCAGGTAATGCAGCATTGGTCAAATTAGCCATGAAACAAAAGTAAGGAATGACTGTCGGCTACTTCACCGGACAACATTCCTAAATATGACACAATGGTAAACGAGTTGCCGCTTGAAATATTTTACACATACGAGTTTTATATTCTGATGATACCTACTCTCGGGACTGAGCTGTGGGCTTTGCTCTATCTGTGTTCGCAACTAAGCGATGAAATACAGATTGCCATCTAATTTGTCTTCATTGCGTATAATGTTTTAAATTGGTCCCTTATCTCCGATCTTAGTATTTCAATTCGTAGAAAAGAAAACCAGTTTTCAAGAATTCACTGTTTCGTTTTAATGGATAAATTAGTACTGGTAAGTCTGACATGCTGCGGGGGCCAAACCAATTCAATTTGTTTCCTAAGCCCACACCAGAGAAAAAAGGAAGCACTGCGGGTTGAAAGTGAAGATGATTCGTGTTGACAAAGTGCCATTAACTTAGTTGATTCCGAATGTCCCCACTACTTATACGGAGTTAAAGTAGAGGGGTCTCTGACTCTGATTCTGTTATGGACTTCATACTAAAATTGCAGGCAATTTTGATGAATGACTACGGATTTTCCAAAGAAATACGGGTGTAAGGAAGACAAGTGAAGACATACGAGGAAAAAAGACTTGTTATTCATGTACAGGAAGCAAACCATCAAATTTTTTCAACTTTTAAGCTGCAATTTTTTTAGTAGTTTTAATTCAATTTTTTCTAAATTTTTTTTCAGCTTTAGTTTCTCCAGTTTACAAAGGGTCATCAGGAGCTAAACCGAGCATCAGGCGATGTAGCATCGGTGAGGGCGTAAAAAGTTGCTAGCTGCACAACTGGAGGACCAATTTTTAAATTATAACTGATTCAGGCATCTAAGAAAAAAACCTATGAAAGGCAGAGGCACTTGAAAATAGATCGAATGGTAGCACGTACTAAGAGCACCTAACTACGAAAAAGGATGTTGTTGGGAGGCTGATGACGCTTACTAAAATGAACGTGTTTTGTAATTTGTAGCGGGAAACATAAAATTAATGGTTCCACTTACCAAAGTTTTTTTGAAAAACAATTAACAGTTTTCTGGGAAATTTTCAGAATTTTGTTTTGTTAAACAGCTAAAAGCTCCCTTCATTTCGAGTAGGCAGTACTGCGAAGAATAATTAGTAACATTCTGCTCAAGATATATTTTCAAACAAAAAAAAAGTACCAGATATTTTGGCCGCACATGCGATTCTAATGTTTAATC